TTTAATTAGTCCTCACACATGTCTTACTCTTAAGCAAGTTGAGCACTCTAACACTTGATTAAACATTTTATAGCTTGAGAAAACTCCAGTTTAGTTCTCATAGAAAATTATCAAATTAATTTGTAGTTGTTGGCCATATCCATGTGGAGTACGCAAATGCGATAGAATCAATAGGCCATTGGGAGCAAACACAAAACACAAGCTGAATGTAATTGGACAGGGCTTATGGACTGCATAACGGATTTTCATTTAACCAATTTCTAGATAGACGCACACATGTATGCACTTACGCAAATGCTCATTAGTCGGCAGGTAGTAGTAGTTGCAGCCGAACAAATGAACATGGACCAATTATTAAATTATAATACAGCCCGTTCAAGCAGCAGCAGTGCGCTGGGGCTGAAACATCTCAAAGTTTGGCCGGCCGAATAATTAAGTTAGAGCACAGAGAGGGCAGGGAATGGAATAATATACATAAACACAGACATGTCCTGCAGGCCAAGCACAGGCAATGGAAATCCAACCATTCAACAATCTAAAATCCATGCTTACCCTGGGCCCACTCCTATCGCGCTCCTACAGCTCACAAATGGATTTTTGGCTGGCTTCCGGTAAAAAATCAGCGGCATATCCTGTGTGGCAAGTGCACTAAATGTTGCCCCGTTAACAGTCCCTTGACACGCATGTCGACATGCGAAATAGCGAAACTGTTTCTATTTGAATATTCAACTCCCCATAATCCCCTCCCCCCCTATACGGCTTAAGCCTGTCACGCGCTATAACTGACACTAACATATAATTGGTAAGCATATCCTCGGCAAATTCAATTTATATTACTTTCCACACACTGAAACTGTTAGATAGTGAATACATTTCCGCTATTCTGCTTATCCATTACCTGTCCAAATTGTCAAGGTGTTGAATATGCTATTATAAATAAGGATTTGTTTAGCCGGAGTTGAAAGAGTTCTGACAGCTGAGATGAAAGCAAGTTGAGAGCTTGATTATAATATAGAATAAGAATTTAAATATAAGAGATTTGATATTTAAGAATTATTAATATACTATAATTAGCACATATTTCTGGTTATATTTAAAAAAAAAAAAAAAATTTAGGCTTTGTTTTCTTTAATTTAACAATTTTTTTTTTTTTTTAAGTTTATTTCGAATTTTATTTTGATATATTTATACCCATTTATATATAGTATATTTTATTCCTCGCAAGTACTCTGTCATATTATAAAAAAAACACAAGATCAAAGATTTGATATATATTTTAATTCATATTCGTTTGTCTGGAACATTGTTCAGATCTTGTCACAACTCTTTAATACACATATTCTCTGCGTGCTCGCATGCGTTTCGGCAAATAAAACAAGGTAAATTTTAATTGAACTATCGAGAAGTGTCTGAAACTCATCGATAATTTCGTACTTTCAATTTGTAATGGACGAAGTATACACCTAGTCGCGACTCAATGCCAGCTGCACCAATGGCAGTACCTTAATGGACGATAAATCTGCCAAAATAGCCTCGATGCTATCAAGTGAAGACACCTGCATGATGCTATCCTTGCGAAAGCTCAATATAATTATGGCAAACAGCGGCAGAATCTCTAAGCTATCAAACCCAAGTATCTGCGGGGGAGAACAATCAGATGAACAATCGAATGGACGATGGCTTAGGCAAAGGCTTACCAAGTCCCACAAAACTAGCAATTGATCCGGTGGCAAGTGACCCGAGAAGCCACGCATAAGCCATTTGAATACAACTCGGAGTCTAAGAAGAGAAAATGCTGAAGTTACAAATAGATTTCAGTGCCATATCAGTGCCATACTTACGGCTGTATCTGAAGTTCACGAAAGTGCGACCACAGCTGAGGCTCGTAGGTCTGCAGCAGCTTCTCGAACAGCAGGCACAGGCTGACGATGCCCTGCGGATGCGTATTGATCGTGGTCAGTCGATGGCAGTACCGTATGTAGAAGGCACGAAATGTATAGTACAGGCTCACGGGCGAATCGAACAGATAGCAAAAGGGTGCGGCAAACATGCAGATGCCATGGAACGGCACCACGCCCGACGGCGGACCCTCGTAGGTCTTGCCCTTCACCGGGAATGTTTCATACTCCACACAGTTGGCGATCTCCGTGTCACGCGAGAAGCACAATAGCACCTGATACAGTACGTCCTCGAATACGAAATACTGGTCATCATTGGACGCCGTCAGCTGTATGTCCTTGAAGACGAGCTTGTCGACAATGTGATCGGTGGTCCAAACGCTGTTTCGCAGCTTCTGCCAGTTCTCAATATCCTGTTGGGATGAGCATGAGTTCGTTAAGTTAAGGATTGAGGAGAGAAGAGGGATAAAGAAATCCTTCACCAACGTCTAACTAAAAATTAGTGTGCCTCTATTATATGCGCAACGCCTATTTAAGTGCTTCAAATATCTATAAACTTAATCCTTTAGCTGCCCTCAAAATTAGATTAAGGCTAACTGAAATTTAATAATATACTTATGCCGCCTGCGCATGCGAATAATTGGGCTAATAAATTGTTATGAAAATTAAAATGAACTCACAAAATCGTGCAGCTTGCTGTCGAGCACAGCCGCCCAAAGGGCTCCGCGATAGGGAGCCGGCGTGGCGCCCTTCTTCAGGTACTGCTGGCACATGGGAGCAAGCTTGCTGTCCAGGATGCGCTGGCACTGAACCGCCAGATCGTGCACGCCGTAAGGATCGTTGCGCAACAGATCCGCATAGTGCGTGCGCAGCTCAAACAGATTCTTCACAGGCAGCGCAATATGTGAGAACTCCCATTGGGGAATTTGACTAAAAATAAACAAGAATATAATAAAGTGCAATACATTGATCTACTCTTAATTTTAAGCACTTACTCGTTGTTTTCGTTGGGTCGCGAGGGTCCCTTGAGCGATAGCAAGACCTCCAACAAATCCTTGGGCGCATAGACCGGACGATAGTTGGCCAGATCTATCGAATCACATATTAGCTATAGCTTAACCGATATGTATTATATATATCGCCTACCCATATTGTAGTTGCTCAGCTCATTCCATTTGGCAATGAAATCCTCACGATCTGCGCTAATGCGCGGCTGGCCATGCAGCGGCACTTTCAGTTCTCCACACATGGCGTTTAGACTCTTTCGCACACGGCGATCCCACAGGACGCCAGCACGCTTCAGGTAGCTCAACGGATCGCTCTGTGACGATTTCTAAGTAAAACGAGAAGAAATACTTAAGGTAAAGGTGCTCTAACTCTCTCAGCTCTCTCGCACTCACCGGCGTCAGTCTCGCATCTGGTACTTCGATCTTCTTTAGGCGACTGCGCACCAAATTGAATATCATATTGCGTATTTCTGTCTCCAGGCCCGCCGCCTTGATGGCGTCCTCCAGCGTGTTGCGCATATCGTTCTTATCGACGCTGGGACTGGCAACCAGACGCTGCAGTTCATTGTAGATGGGCTCATAACACTTGGTATTCTTGATGGCAGCAATTAGTTTAGCTGTCATATGGTGTATACTACTATCCTGCAGCTCCTCCATATCTGCTACTCGACGCTCTCGTCCGCTTAGACTCTATGTGTGAATGTGCGCTTGCTGCCGTTCCTATAAAGCCGAAAACATTGGCGCATCGAACAGTCGCTTGATTTCTATCGATCAAACTTCCGTCGCCTGTTTTGATTTCCATTTATGTGTACGTGCACGTGTATATGTATTTATGTATGTGTATTTATACACGAATACACATACCTCAACTTGTAGGCGAAACAAAGCCTTTCAAATGCTTCCTAGTTACGGAATGCAACCACTTGTTTGGCAGCTTCGCTTCCTCGCAACGGACACACCCCGAAGCCTGACGGCCCTCTGCAACCACAGAGCCATTGGCAACGTCAATTGCAAACGTTTAATTAAACTGTTCGAAAACCCAATTTTCGCTGACACCTCAATTATTAATCAACAAATCTTGACAAATTTCTCAAATTACACTTTTTACATTTATTATGTAACTCTACATATTTAATTAATATATTATACTAATTTCAGAATTTTATTGAAACTCAATTTTAATTTAACAAATATTTTTTTTAAGTTTTTTTTTTTTTTTTTTTTTTTTTGATAAAAAAAAAATAAATAAATAAAATAAAAATATGTAATATCATCTAAGAAACAATAAAAATTGTTTTAAATAAAGTTTGATAAATTAATTAAATCATGAAAAAAATTATTATTTTTTATTTTTTTTATTTTTAATTTATTTTATTTTAACTAGCCCAATAGCTAATTTGAGTACAGATTCTTTTTTATTTTTTATTTTTTCTAAAAAATATAATTGAATATTTTTTTTTTTTTTTAAAAAAATTTATATTGTTTGTAGTCTTAATTAAAAGGCCCTAATTTTCTAAATAAAACTAACCTAAAACTTGTTTTACAAACAAGACAAATTTTTATTCATCTTTGAAAAGAACACACAGTAAAGATCGCTATGCGAAACTAAGAGCTAAAATAGTCTGTGCTACGCTGATCCCACACCGAAGAGCGATATCTATTATTTTGATAATTATTGTCTATGTATGTTGTTGGTTGCCATGGTTGCCACGCCCACAGCGTGTAATTGGAATAAGGGCTCAAGTGTTGTTCATAAGTTCCTTTATTCCATTGCCTTGATGTTGGGAATGTTCGCGTATTCCATTTTCATGCTTAAACACGGCTTAGTAAAAACGTAAGTTCATAGACATGGAGTATATATGATTGTAAGAGCATATGCACATATCAGCTTACTCCAATCCTGCTATCCATGTATAATGCAAAAAACTCTCCTTAAAGTTGAAAATCGAGACGATTGGGAGCAATAATTATAATAAGTGCAAAATGAAAAGGAAAATATCACATTTGCATATCTTTGAATGGTGCTAAATATTACATATATACTATCTAAGGTCAAAGCAATCAAAAATAAACTTAGGCACAAAAACTAAATAAATAAAATCAACAAAACTTTATTGATTAAAATCACGTTTTAAGCAATACATTCTTTGGTCATCCTTAGACACAGGAGCGTGCAGCAATCCTCGGCATAACGACAAGAAGCTCCCCCTCTCTTACAGTGTTGTTTCATGTTAGCGGATCGAAAAGACTATAAGATCTGTTAAATTATTATTATTGTTATTTTATATTTGATATGAATTAACTCTACCTTTGTCACATTTTTCATTGGAGGTACTACGATATTTTTCAATGTGTTATATCTCCAGACAAAATGATCAAATTGCGCTTTGTTTCTTTTCTCACTCAGAGCACAGTACAGTCCGAAGACAATTACGAACATAATTATTGAAACTTTCATTTTGAGTTGTAATTTTTCACTGAATAGAAAGCTTGTTCTGTTGAGCTTATATAGGTGGCTAGAGACTTCTGATAAAACATATGTGAGAAAATTAAAGTGTCTTAATGAACGACTTTTTATAGCGCATTTAGTTAATGTCAATGTAAAAAATTTGTTTAAAGCCTAACGACTTTTTATTTAATATATTTAAGATAAAACAGATTTCGCTGAAGAGCAATTGAAATAGGTTTTTTTTTTACCATCTTGAAGCAACGGTACAGCTTTCTATAAAAGGGCCAGAAATTGTTGATCTCTAGTTAGTATAAGAAACAATTTCAATGGACAAACAATGAAATCTTTCAAAATTATTCTATTTGCTGTGCTGGGTCTGATGCTGTTTGTAGACGCAAGGCGCTTCAGGTCGACCACATACAAAATGCTTCCATGGAAACCAATAACAACACCCAAACCCATAGTGATGAATCTTTCAAAGGACTTGTCAAGAGTAAAAGAGAACTGCAAATTGTTTTGTTATTATCTTATCTAACACCGTAATATCTCTCCTAATTACTGATTCGCAGGCTCAACGCATAGAGCTGAGCGATCATTGCAAAGCCAGCGGCATGGAATGCCGAATCGCCGAGGAATGTTGCAATTTAAAGTGCGCGATTGCGAATCATAAGTGTATCGAGTTGTTAAACCCCGATGATATATTGGCTCCGAACATATATGGTATATGAGTATTGTACTTGATATATTTATGAGAATATTTTTATATATTAAGATAAAGCTGAGCTTCATATATAATATAAATCATGTAGAGTAATCAGAAATATAAATAAATATAAAATAAAATGATTCGCTATCTTACGTTCTATATTTAATTCGATTATACGGAGCAGCAAACGATTCAAGTGATCGCCTGGTGTGAGCTGAATAAAAACAAAAAAAATAATTATTCTGATGAGTCTTCTATTTTAGACAATAGTTCTAGTGCAATTGTATATTGAGACATGGGATTAGCAGACAAAGTATAATATGTATCATGATTAGGTAATGTATTTTAATTTTACAAAATCTATAAAAAAAAAAAATAATATACGACAAATATTAAATTAAATTTTATTATTTATAAAATATATTATTAAGATAAAAATGATATAAATATATATTATATAATTACATATATGTATATTTATTTTAATATGGAATTTATATTCTTTTATATGAAATGAAATTCTAAATTCTTTATTAAAATAAATTATATATAATTTAACTAATCATAAAATAAATGTAACTAATAATATAAATATATGTTAGCACAGTTATAAATCATATATAATTTTATACACATTTATTATAATATGGAATTTAGATACATATATTTTTTTATTTAATATAAATATAAATTATATATAATTTAACTAATATTTGTTCAATTAGGGCCAGAAGTGAGTACACCTCTTGTAACGCTTCACACATTGCTGAGTGCAACACTCCTCAGCGTATAGACACCTTTGGTGCACCTTCTTGCAACTGGCCTGCATGCTCTCCTTTTGAGCCTAGAAAAAATTGAGGTTAGCCAATACAGTTAATTAAATATTTAATAGACAATAACTTTACCAGGCTTAGATTGTTAGAGGGTTCCATAATGAGGTGCTGCAATGTCTTAAGCTTATTCGTCGGAGTCTTTACCAACGGCTCAGTGAAGTTTGCATTTTGTAGAAAAATCCAACAGTAGAATATGCCTAGAAATCGATGCATTTCATCAATTGCCAGTTCTCTGATTGAGTGCAATCGACAATTAATGAAAGCTTTTATAGTCGACAGGCAGAGCATGCAATAGCTCTGTGTTTCAAAACACATGTGGGAAGAAGCAGTTGCTTCGCTATCGCTTCATTATGTATTCAAGTGGCTCTACTTTAGTAATAAGATATTTTACTTATATTATGAATGCCAATCTGCAAATTTGACTGCTAAATAATCAGTCAGGACCGAAAGACCGCAAGATTATAAAATAAATGTTAACGATGAGCCATGATATATATTTTATATAATTTATACATCTATCTGCAACCTTCTCTAGTTTTATTGTCTTTTTTCTGTTTTAAATAATAAAAAATTGGGAGTACCTTAATTTGTAATATTATATTTTTATATTTTTATATAATATTTATTTTTTATAAAAGATTTATTTTAAATAATTTCATACTTTAATACTTTTTGTATTATAATTATTATTTTTTCTAAATTCACATAAGGATGATCTTGAAATCTACATCCTGTATAGCCGGGAAGATAAATTTAATGTGATATTTATGAACTTCAGTTTTTTAAATTTAAATATTAAGGCGTATCGTCGACTTGATCAAGAACATATACTTAATGGGGTCTGCCTCCTTCTGCCTGTTATACCCTGAATTCCCATTTTCAATGGGTTCAGCGTATAAAAACCCAACTCTTTCGTGCAGATCCAAAAACCAATATTGTCAGCTAGATATCTTTCCTGTGTTTCTTGTCCCTTTCTCTTATATGTATTACAATCAACTGAGTTATTTCAACAGCATTCATAATTTAATAATTCATAGTTTTCCTATAACTGCCAGCTTTGATATACGCCAATTGGTGTTGATACAGAGAATTAAAAACTCAATAAATTAACTTAAATTATATTTACTATTACTTAGTAGCCACTTTAAGCGTTATCATCATTAGCAGTTGTTTAGTAAGTACAAATGTCCACGTTTTTGCCAAGCGGACAACCAAATTGAATCAGCATCCACTAAGAGGAGAACACACATAAATTTGCAGCAACACTGTGTGTAAATTGTGCATTATTTATTTGTTTGTGGCTGTTGCCAGCTGGCGAATTTATGTGCTGCACTTGTTACTCATACGACACGTTGTACGCTGAACGTTGGCCATGTGCGTAGTGCAAGACAAATCGATTTCACTGCGCTGTGACATTTGGGTTTTCTCCTCTTTTATTCAGCGTTAATTTATTGAGCACTTATTTATGCCCAAGATGGAAGAAAGACCAGAATAACTGGGAATTAAATTAAGTTGAATGGAAAGATATTTGAAACTTAGTTAAATATAATATTAAATTAATTTAAAAAAATTCAAAATAAAATCAAAAATATTAAGATTAAAATCTTTAAAAAATATATTATATATAATATTATTAATATATATTAAGATTACATCTCTTATTTTATTAACTAAATAAAATTCAAATTATCTTGTTCCGTATATATGTTATCTATAATTATATTTCAATATATCTTATATCATATATTATTTATATATGTATGTTTATCATAATATAACAAAATAAATATGATATAAGTCAGAGCTTGTTGCTTGGTGTGGCTGCAGCAAGTTGAATGCAACATGCTTGAATCAGCTGCTAGCCAAGAACTTTTATCATATGTTGATTTAAGATCTATCATTCTGCTAAAGCCAAGCTTCAATATACTCGGAATGCAAGCTTTCAATATTATATATTCGACACTTAAATAATTACATTATGTAGGTTTTCACATTCAATTTTATTTATAAAAAAGGAAGCATAATCATATACTCTTAGTTTCAATACTCCATTTACTTAGTTATATTGAATACATATTTTAATTCACCCAGAAACCCCTAGTTATATATACTGCATGCATACATACATTACGTATATACATACTTGTATGTCCATTAATTTCCAAATTCCAAAAATTGAAAATTATGTTTGTATAAATCTATTTTTTTTTTTTTTTTTTTTCTTCACAATAATCCTCATCAACATTTTTTACCAATCATATTTTCTGATCTTGTTCAACTACTAATTTATCTGCTCAATCGTATATAATGTCAAGTTTCATAGGCTTCTGCAGCTTTAAAAGCAAGAAAAAGTCACATGCAAACAGATTTTCTCAATTCTCTAATCCTTTGAACATATCTCGTATAATGATTAAACACAGCTACGTTTAAGAACAGACTCCAATGGAAATCTTTTGCCCTGTATTTTCCACAGAGTCCCCAGCAAAGGAACGAGACTTGTTGCCTATGCCCACATAGTTGCAAAGTTACAAGGATATGTAATTAAGGGCCTGACAAGCAGCTTCATTAACAATTCTCTCTCTATCTGCAGCAGCAACAAATGCCTTCATATCCTTTTTGGCTAGTGTAGGGAATCTAAAGGAGTTGTGCCATTCGAACACATGCCCGAGCTGGTCAGCACGTTTGAGTTACAGTTACAGCTGCAGGTAAGCCTATAGCCACGTCCTAGCTGGCTAACATGTCCTGTGCATGTCCTGTGGCCAGCCATGCAGAAGCCAGTCATGCAAGCTAAGCATGCCACAAGAATCCTTAGACTTCGTGGATTGAATTAAACTCACCAAGCATTTTAAATATGCAGATCAAAGTATCCTGTGTGCCGCAGTGGCAACTCGTGTGTGTCCTCTGTCCAGGCGAACCAGACAACTGCTCACAAATAAGTAATGCGAATCGAATCAGTTAAGCGTGTGTTAAACGAGGCTTAGCATTTCAATTGGAAACTATTTACATTATCTATTCATTTTAAATCATTGCAAATTATTTACAATTGCAATTTATTTGCATTATCTTCATTTGTTTTGACAACTTAACTATTTGGTATACTAAAGAAAAGATTTAAAATTTTGTATATATACTCTTAAGGCAGACAACTAGATATATATATTTCAAATAATCAAATTCTATTTTAATTTAGTTATTAATTCAACCATATTCTTTATTTATGGCATTGTTCTTCTTCTACAATTTCTCTGGAACTTATTGACTTTCAAGAGTTTTAAATCTTAAGCTTAACTCTCAACTTTATCCATTTCACTTTTTAGTTAACAAAATTATGGCCACTTCCTTGCCTTGTACGTAGTTTGCCTATAAAATTTCAGTCGATTTAATTTCATTTAATTTACATATTTCTATAGCTGACACTCACACACACTTTGTCCTCACATTGTTGTTTGTCTCTCAAAGGATGTAGCAAGGGTGTGTGTGACGTGGCATGGAATGTTTTAAAGGCTGAAGAAACTGTCTATCCGCATGAAAGAATTGTGTTGATTTTCAGCAATAAATACCCTTCACGAATGGGCTCTAGTAGGTAGCATAAATAGGCAGTTGGCGAATATTAATTATAATATATAATTGCTGCTAGGTTTAGTCGAAGTTTTGAATTCAATATTTAAAATTTTCTAAAGTAATTTAATAATTAACTTCAACACTCTTCAAAATAAGCTTATTATCAAATTATCGACTATTATCGATATTTAAAATTGGGATGAGTTATCGAAAAAATGTCATAGACTATTACTACGTAAGGTATACCTTTAAAATATGACGTTCATAGGAAAGTTCATTGACAGACGGACAGATCAAGAAGACTAAAGCGAGGAGGTACGTCTCCTTCTGCCTGTTTTTTATTATTTTTGTATGATTGTGTAACTTTTTAAAAGTTATTATATATTATAATATGTAAAGTCACTGAAATATATGATTTTTTTTATAAAATTTCAAAGTGGAAAATTTTTTGTTTTTATCTATTTTTATAAATATTATATATTTTTATTACAATTTCCACTATAATTTTTTATTTATTTATTTTATTGTTTTTTTTTTTATATTTTATATATTTTTTTTTTTAATTTTATTTATTTTTTTTTTTTTATATGATATTTACTGATATAGCAATTTCATGCATTTAATTGCCTTGTTCAACTAAATTAAATCGAAACGATATTGAAATTTACGATAGTTTGCCAAGTTTGCTTTTTAACAACAGCTCATGGTTAAAACATTTTATTGCATTTGTTATAAATTCAAATTTTCTGTTCGTCTGCTACAATAAAAAGTGGTCGATGTCTGTATTCAATGTAGATTTTTTATTCGATTTTAGTTTTTATTTGTGGTGTTTTTTTTTTTTCTTGTTCTTTCTATTCTCTCTCTTCCAAAATAAATGCACAAAATTCCCAGCACATATTGATAATATATATCTGATAGTGCAATATAAGTCGACTGAACCTCTTTATGGAGATATACCCTTTAACTAAATCTAAGCTATAGCAAAAAACATGACATACATTTCTTAAACATATACATTTCAATCCCAACGAACTTTAAAGAACAAATCTAAACACTCAATTTCTCACTTTAAGACATGCAACGCCGAACAACCTGTAATTGATTGTGGCTTATCGCAGGATACTAAATACAAATCTTAACTCGACAGAGAGTCAAATGTGACATCATGAAAATTCGTTGCGAGGACTTAGCACAAATTACAGACATAAAAGTCGCACCCAAAGATTATCGTAAACTTTTACAGCAACCCAAAAAATGAGAAGAAGAAAAAAGGAAGCAACAAGAAAAGGCACAAACAGAGCACAAATGAAACGAAATAAAGATTATTTTCGATTTGTGGTTAACACACAGAGAGTAAGAGAGCGCGATAGAGAGAGAGAGAGAGAGAGAGACGCACATGTGCCCAAGTACCCTGGGCTATGCATTCATGTATTTACCATTGATTAGAGTTAAGCAAATTGCAAGTGACATGTCAACAATGGGATTGCATGGGAGCACATGAACATTTATGGGGCGGTTCTCTGCGATGAGCAGGCACAGAAAAAGAAGGCTGCATTATGTATGTACATACATATGCATATATATATATTAACGAAAGAGTCATCATTAACAGGAACAATGCCTAACATCCTCTCGGTTCGGTTAGCCTCAACGATTGCCAGTTGGCATTACAAGCACTTCCGGTTTCAAGGCAAGGAATCACAAGCCTTCTCAAATGCCTTTCAGCTGTTGAGCAACAAGAACAACATGAAAGTTGTAAAAGCAACAAATTGCAATTGCAACTAGTTATGAAACATGTATGCCTAGCGGATATATAAGCACTGAGTGTTTAATATTTAGACATTTACTCAATATTATCAATCACTCAATAATCAGACTCGAATTTTGCCACTCGCTAAAGAAAAAATTAAATATTAAAATAACGCTAAGTTTGGTGTTTTTTCGGTTTCTATATAATTTTGGTTAATTATGTTAAATATACTGTTGATATATGTATGTATGTTGATATATGTATGTATACCTCATCGAAAAGTTAATTATTCAATCTATAATTTAGCATTTACACTTTTTTATTTTTAATTAATATTATATGTTTTATAGGAGTTTGAAGCTCAAAAATAAAAAACCGAATAATAATGCTACTCACTGTACGTATCGACGTATTTATATCTTATTACTATCTTATTAGTAGCTTTTGATTTGCCTGGTTAATTTAGTACCTGTTATGCTTTCAACCCTCATCTCAGCATCTTGAAATCCCAATTTGCCTGCAAGTGAGAATTACTTAACAAGTTTCTATTTGTTTGCCACGCCTAGCCTAAAGCTAAACAGCAGCACATATACATACATATACATTTTAAAGAGAACTTTTGTAGAGCTACATATATTGTTACGCGCTTCTGGTTGGCGACGTCAAAAGTAAACTACGCTCTCCGTGTGCACAAAGAGCTGATTGCACCATGCACTCTATAGGCATTCTCCTGCTCCAGCTGGAGCTGCGCTGGCTGTGCTGCATCCTTTGGCACTGTTTTTTGTCATGTGCACTTTCCGTGCAAAATATATCAAGCTGCAGATGGAGCTGACAGCTTCAAGAAGAATTAAACTACTTTGCTCGTTTCCAGCTCACAAAACAAACGTTCATCATGCTTGTTCGTAAGATAAAAGGAAGTATATGGGTGTATATCTATTTGTTAGGGACTCTTATACTTGGTAATTATAACGAATGCTACTGTATATACAGATGTGAGAAATCTGTATATAATACTAGAAAGTTCAAAGAATTATAGATTTTAAACTTATATATATACATATGTATATATATATATATATATATATATGTTCATATATATGCATATATATAAAGTTATAAATACAGTAGAGTCCAACGTTCAAGGGACCGTCTTCTTACATGGAAGATTATATAAGTTTGCTCATATAAGTTTATCTGGGCAACAGAATTTTCCTATATATAGTCGGATTCTACTGTAGTTTTTTTGTCGTCTTCTATATATTAATCATAGAATTTGTCAGTTATCTCTGACTTTAATACTTTTAAAGCTAATACAATCAAGTTTCATTTGTTAAATAAAAATTAGTTTGTTAAGAAAGAGTGAAACCAAGCGCTTTTATAAATAGAGTATTTTTACTTAAGTTATTCATTCGGCTATTCGATCTGCTCTACATTTCGCAGTTATACCAATTTAACTCTACAAATTTAACTTTAGTCCACACACATCATGCACACATTCACACATACAAACCTTCACACACGCCCACTCATACACACGCACGCCCCTCGCCGCACTTTTTCTGGCCTCTTGAAGACGCCGCCAACCGCGACGCATTCACAAAAAGTTGCCACACAGAAAAACAAACACTGCAAAAACCGAAGACAGCCAGTGAAAAATGTGAAAATGAAGGCGGAAAGTACCAAAAGAAAAAAGAAGAAAAAGAACAATAAAAGGCAGAAAAAGTGGAATGAAGATGAACAGAGCGAGGAAAACAGAATTCGCACACGCAAAAGGATTCCACACTTCACTCTGGCCTAACCAAAGTAACTTATGCGCTTCGCCAACTTTTCAAGTTTGCTGCATATGAGAGGAGTTATGCGGCTGCCCGACGCTAGATGGCGCCTGTGGGCACATTCAGTGCAAGGACAATGACAGAGCAAAGGAAATTTGCTCTAAAGGGAGGAATGACAGGGAATGGAAAAATGCAAGAAGCCAGCTCAAATCGGAAAAACAAATTTGTGCAAACGGAAAAGCCAAAAATTAGACCACAATAATAAAGAGAATAATAGTGTGCCCAAAGCGAAAACAAAATTAAATGTTAATCATTCAGCAATTGCCGATAGTTTAATTAAATTCCTCTAATTTAAATGCGAAAAGTTAGAATTGAATATTTACTCTAGTTGAGACTGCTCGTTTGAGAGATTCCCTGAACCCTATGAAGCGCTGATATTCCAATAATTATTCGCTGACGAACAGCGCTAGATAAACTCAGCTTGTCGCCCTGATCATATGTACATGCTTTATAATATATATATGTATGTATGTATATACCTAATGGGCTCTGCCACGCCTCCTGCTGGGCCAGACAGGCGACAGCGCGAAGAGCGTCAAGTGCCACAGTTTGTGGCACACTATATGCGGCAAGAGTGGCTCACATTGTTGACCAAACGAGCGCGTTGCAACGTTCTAATGGGCTGCCAGTGGAGCTTGAACATGTCCGCATGTCTGCCTTATTCAAATGCAACAAGTGCAGCAAAAGTTGCTGTCATCTCGTTGCATAAATATGACGTATATTTACTGAAAACAAATTTCTATTAAATTTGACTGTGGACAGAAAGAAGGCGTAACTTTAGCAATTCATGTAATTTTTTAAATTAAATTAAAGTTGAAAAACTAAAATTGTTTAATTTAAATTCAATAATTTTCAATTCAAATTTTTTTTTTTTTTTTTTTTTTTATTTAAGTTTCAGGTAAAGCTCATTCGATTTCGTTTATAACTTTTTTTGTAACAAAATTTCAAATCATTTTGTTGTCCAGTGTAATCTAAACGAACTTCCTGACAGCTATGTTTCCTGATTTTTGCAAATTTCGCAATATGAAACTTAAAATCGTTTCTTTGCTGCCCCATCAATTTTAACAATTCAATCGAATTTGTTGTTTACAAAGAGGCCGAGGCCATCTAGCGTGCTAAAAATAAATAATCGAGCAAAGTGTAGTCTAGCACATATACAAACATACATTTACATATATATATATATATATATATATATATATATATGCGTATTGCATAATGTGCCGGACCAGCAGCCATGGATGAATAAATGTCAAACATTTTGCTACGCATCATTGCCACTTTCCGCCCAATTTTCCGGATATGAGAGTGTTTACGTGCGGTGTACGCACGAGTTCCTTTTTTAATCAAGTGGACAGGCGATTTATGTGTGATGTTTATGTGTGCTCTGCCTACAGCTGGCAACAGATCAACGACAGTTTGCCAAACAATTCAAATTCAATTCAAACATCAAAAATATATACGCAAAAGTTAGAGTACTTAATATAATAATAAATGTGATAAATAAGAGGTTAAGCAAAAAATAAAGCACTTGATTTGATAGATTGGAATAATTCATATCATTCTTGAAACCAAAATAATTAATTGGGCATACAAATTTAGTTTATTAAATAAATAGATGTAAGAGTGAATAAAGTTCAAAACCAAAAATTACAATTATTTGCAATCTTTGAGTAAAGCTTAAGCATGCTAAATTGAACTTTATATTTGAAAACATTTATTTATGTTTGTAGTTAACGTTCGTTTATTAAATATATATATGTATATATTTTCAAAACGCCATATGTTTACATATATAATTGCATATTTCTGGACAATTAGGCATAAATACATACAAACTACAATAAACTGCTTGGCATACAATGCATACAAATATAATACAGACATTTATGTTTGTTTTCGGTATACAACATTTCATTGATATTTTTATTATAAAAACACATCGAAAATATTACACGTACAAAACAACTTTTCGTTTCCTTTTGTTTTCTCTTTTATATATTTGAATATGTTTCATCGCCAATAGTAGACGTACAATTAGATGTATGTATATTTTTGTTTAAATATTTATGTATATATATATATTGATTATAAAAAAAGATATTGTAAATCATATACACATATAAAAATCTACAATAAGGCAATTCGCTTATACGTTTCGGCCAGGGAAATACAATTTATTTTTGCTTTACTTATTTCTGTTTCATCCATGCATCTTGTTTCTTTCGTTTCGTTTGTTTACATGTTTGTTTCATAAATAACGTTTAAAGCTTTTTAAATTAGGATTCTCTTACGAATAAGTACATGGAATGTGCGTTACTAACTATTCTATAGACAATTAGTTCGAATCTAAAACTAAATCATTTCGCTTTTTACATCATTTGTTGATGTTGTTGCATAAAATTCGTTTAAAAATTAGAAAATTAAACGTAATCCACTACATGCAATACTCTGTTTTAAATGCACTTTTTAAAGTTTACATTAGATATAAATGTCCGTTTGTTACATCAAATATGATAATGATTTAATATGCATTGTGTTTTACTTTTGTATAAGACTTAGTTCGACAGCAACATGAAATTTTGGCAAAAAATAAAAAGCATTTTATAGTTCTGCGGCATTCATAATTTTGACAGGAGTGTACACAATTCGACTGTCTATGGCGCCACTTTGCTTCCACCCGCATGCATCATGACCAGAGAGCCAACCATTGCAACCAGCGTGCGATCCAGCCAAGTAACCGGATTTGGATATAGAAAGCCACCCTCATAGAATCCAAGGTGACCACCATGTGCTACCTCTACGTATGCTGACTTTTGACGAGTTGCTGTATAGAAAAAAAAATTATTGCAGTTAGTATACAAATATAAATTATTATTATTATTATAAAAGTAAATAAAATACAAATTTATTTAAAATAAAAAAAAAATGGATTCAAATCTCTCGCAGCCGGTAGGATTCGAACCTACGCTCCCAGAGGGAATCTGATTTCTAGTCAGACGCCTTAACCGCTCGGCCACGGCTGCTTCTGTCTGAAGTATTGCAATGTGACTATTTGTATCACTGTTAAAGCATTTGTGTTGTATTAACATTTTCATCAAATAACGTACTGTTACGGTAACAGAAAACCGGTATAACGTTACGATAAAAGATTATGTCACCTAACATAAATGTTAACTTCTGATTCGACCAATTCAAATATGTTTCTGATGAAAATTAAAAATTAATTGTGAATTTAGTTTCACTTACTAGCATACTCCTTAATTGGATGCAATAAATCAACCGGCACCAGGGGATCATCTTTGGCATTTATATAAATCATTGGTTTCTCAATGTTGTCAAAATAGAAAAGAGAGGAGCTCCACTTGTATAATTCCTGTGTCGATGCAAAATTGTAGACGCGTCGTGTATATGCCTCATCTAGTTCCGGCAATGTTGCAGCCGCTATAATATCTCGTTCGTTGAGATTATGACGTGCCTTCACCTCATCCGACAACAGCACATGACGATGTCGCAAAATGATGCTCTTCACATTCTCAGTCATGATATACAAGTAGAAACGACGGAAGTTTTGCCAGTTCAGCAGCCACTTGGTACCCCTTGAGATAACAACAAAATTCAAATTAGTAAACGATTCAAGACCATGAAGTAGAAAATCGTTTGCTCACTCGACAGCATTGTAGCCCTGGCAAATGGAAATGCCGCCAATGACACTATTGGGTTTTTCCTTTTGCATTTCACCCATGTACTTGGTGACCAGATTGCCGCCCAGGCTGAAGCCAACGGCAACAATGCGGCTATGCTGGTACTTCTGATGCAGATGCTCTACCATGGCAGCGAAATCGTCTGTGTGGCCATAGGTAAAGATGCGTGTAGAGGTCACCTGCACGGTGCGCAGGGCGCCAATGTGATTCATAACGGCACAGCGATAACCGTTGCACTGGGCCAGGTGCACAAAGGTGCGAATATAAACCGATTCGGAACTATTCGCTATTCCCGGACAAATAGCCACTGTAATATCATCTAAAATGGGAGAGATAGAGATTTAATCATTGTCGCCCATAGCAGCTAAATTGAACTGCCTACCTTCCTGCTCCTTTAGTGGCTGATACAGATCATAAGTTAAGGTGGATCCATCCTGGAGCGAGAGATAAACGCGCTCACCCAGAGGCCACGGGCAACGTACACGGCCGACAATGCTATGCAATACGGTCTGAACATGACCGCTGAATCCCCATAGACGTGGTGGAACATAGCTGCAAATTGTATAATAATTGCATGATATAAAAAAATATTTAAGATAAACAGCTGTTAATTCATTTCAAATATAAATATGACTAACTTAACAGCAACAAACTGTTGCACTTTAACAGCAGTAATAATGTTAAGAGCGGCACTACGCAAACAGCTGCGTGTGAGCGCATAAAGTTGACTGCTTGTTCCCCAGCACTCACAAGCATCGGTGGTTCAGTGGTAGAATGCTCGCCTGCCACGCGGGCGGCCCGGGTTCGATTCCCGGCCGATGCAAACCACTTTTTTCAATTATTTTTTAACTTTTTCTATTTTTTTTTTGTATATATGTACATAAGTAACTATCTTGACAGTAGCCGAAAATTAAATGACAAATAGCACATATGTATAAACATAGTTAATGCAATAAAAGACAACAATCATTTAGCAGAAGCACACCAATGCGAAAATGTGTCAAACGGGCGTACAAAGCAGCTGTTAGAATTAATTGAACTCAATTGAGCTGCAAAATCAGCGCCATTGCTGTCAGGCGTTCAAAAAACGTGCACCACTGCTCTGTGTCACTCTCTCCTATTGTCAGTTGTCTGGTTTTAAACGCTTTCCCCTTTTCAATTACTATCAATAAAAAGTTGTTGCGCTTAGGTTTGGGTCAAATTATTGAAGGATATATTCACAAATTTGGAGGTAATTTGCTGTCTGTATGTGAATTCCTAATCTGTAAATTATATACATATTAACAAAGCTTATAGTATAATTACTTGATCAATTGTTATTAAATATTAAAGTATTTTAATGGGGACAGACTGTCTGGGGTATAATAAAACGTTGAACTAACAAAACAGCTGCCAAAATTCCCAGCTAACTCAAGCTTAACATTTTTATACAATTTTTTTCTTTTATTACTAAAATGAGCGATGAGCAAAATATTACGAAGGCAAGCGAATGACAACAGCGAAAACTATACAGATAAATACATACATACACATGTACATGTATGAAGTTGTATATAAATGTAGCTCTATTTATATACATGCATAAATGCATATGTGTATGTGTGTACGCATATGACTCATTCATAAATTTTGCACCCCTTTTTCAAGCAAAAAAAAAAAACAGAATGAGCTTTCAAAACAAAAACAAAAGCTATGTAACCTCGGCGCGTGTGGAAGCAGTATTTGGCGCAGAGAAGAAAAGAAAGATAAAGACTAAGAGAGAGAGGGCGATTGCAAATGCTGTTGCTGAGGATAATGATAAGTGGCTAACCGTTCGCGTTCAATACGCTTACGTAATCTTTGTTGTCAAACAACAGTGGAAGACCGACTGGGCAATGCGCCAAAACCAAATCACAAACAGGTAGCCAAACAATATCGCCAGCCGGCAAAAGAGAGTGGAAAAGTTTTGCCGGTTTCATTGATACCCCATAGATATGTCACTAGATATGGGGTATATAATTATCGTATATATGTCACATATATAACAGGAACATATACATCAATATACTGTCATATGCATCTGTATATGTGCCCATCGAACAAATTAGCACTCAATCGAAGTTTATATGTTGTTTGCTGTTCTATTCTAGAAACTAGCTACAGGGCATTAGCTGGCATATCATTAATTTGTATGCCCCTTTTACCTTGTTGTCTTCACATATCTTTATGTATGAATGTGTGAACATTTATGTGTAGATACACACATATGCATGCGTGTATGGCTGTTTGTGTGTATTCCTATTATTTATTTACTTAGAGGTTAGGGAGAGTATGAAATTAAAACAAACTTATAATAGAGTAAAGCACTGGCTATAGTAGAGGCCCCCGGCTTGGTATTGCTTTTATTCCCGAGCGTCCCACACCCAATAAATTGAAAGTCTATTGAAAGCTACTTACTAGGCGAAGATGTTGCTAGGCGATATTCGCTTCGCTTAAAACTGAACTGCGTAATTATGTTTTACTCTTTGCACCGTTCGCTTATCGCCGTTTGACCAAAGGCAGACAGAATGGAAAAATGAAGAAGACGCAGAGCTGCTTAAAATTCTCTAATCTGAATCGAAAGTCAAAAGAAGGCGCACATATACATACATATGTATGAATGTATGTATGTCTGTATGAATACAGAGAGAACATTTTCCAGGATCGATACTGTTGCGAAAAAAATATTAGTACACTGTTAATAACATTTATGCGTACAATTATATTATTATAATACAATAGATTGTGATTATATCAATTTATTGAATGGTACTTTATAGCGACAATGTTTAAATACCTCATATCTACAATATAATTATTGTGTAGTTTTAGTAAACCTATACACATGTCAAATATGCATTTCATATAGCTTTATTATTATTATAGTTAGCTCAGCACTCACCTATGACTAAAACCACAAAAGGTACTTTTTGTAAAAATTCATATACACAGATACATATGTATATACATATATGAAATATATAAAAACTATTGTTGTTTACTTTGATATAGATATGATAGCCATGTGTCGATAAGTAAGAATTGTTAAAATGAAAAATTTACCTATGGCAATTTAACGGTTCTAAATATATACTATCTCTTTATGCACTTGAATGAAAATTATGCGAACAAGCAAGATTAATCAACCATTTAATTTAATTGACTCATTATTGCATATTTGATAATCACAGAAACAAAACAAACACGAAAATAAAAGTTTGATGTGAATAGAGGCTAATGATTCATTCGCCGGGGCAGCTGCTGTCGATTACTTGAACTTTATGCATGTGACGCGGTAATCTATATGCATATATGTAAAATGCACATTAAGGTTTTGCTTGCAAGTGATTTAAATTGCTGCAATTATGCAGTTACAAATTGCTAGCGGAAAGTGAATGACACCTGCTTATAACTGAACATCAATGCTAATGAGACTAAGTCATTAAACATCATCTCATTCTAATTTAATTGAATATTTCAGAGAATTTAAGAACAATATAGGACTTAACAAACCTATTATTTAATAATATTACTAACTCGAAATATAAATAACAAATCTAAGTAAATTAAAAATTCAAATTCGAAACACAACAGATTCGTAGGTGAATTTCATAAATTACTGAATATTGCGTAAATTAAAGAGAAAAGCAAAAAGAGTATGTCATGGGACAATTAAAGATTGTACTAATTCAATTTTCGCTACTTCATTTTTGCACTACAATCTCGAATTTTGATTTCTAGCAAATTCCACTTGATTGCGCGCTGTTAACTAACATTTTACCGTGGCTGTAGCATAGATGCCACATACATTTAAATCAGCTGAGCTGAAGCGCAAGGCGCGGCGCAAAACACGCAAACACAGCATACACACACGAGTATGTATGCATCTACATGTGTATGTGTAAAATTTGTTTGAGGCAAAACAGAAAAGTAATTGCATGGGGTCTGCACATCGATATTGTGTGAGAATACTTTTTCGCTCACTGTATTATTATTATTTGCTGAAAATCATATGTTGAATATCTATGTATCTATACTTACGGTTCGCGCAGCACCGGCGCAATTTTGTACAAACAATCGAGAAACTGCTCGTCGAGGCACCACACGCTCGGCCTCAAGGGCTGGCTATGGACATTTAGGATGCGGAATAGAATGCACACGATAACGGCGACAAGCGTTAAGAAGGCAGTAGACATCTTTCTTCTTTTTCCTTTTTCTGCTCTTTTTCTTGAGTTTCGTTGCTCCGCACCTGTGGGTGGTCGCTTGCGACGTCAAGGATTTTCTTGTGTCCTTAAACCTTGCAGTTGCAGTTGCAGTTGTTGCTTCTGTGGGTTGTTACGGTTGCTACTCAACTATTTACTGCACACTGACTGTTTCAAATTTCTGGGTTTCCTAACAATAAGTGCGGCATATGAAATACTTTTCAAATTATGATTTTTTCCAATTGTGCTGTAGATAAAATGCTTACTATGTTTCTTTTCGTTTGCAGCTGGTTGGGCGGACTGCAACTGTAAAATATTTGCGATTTACACAAACACACACATAGACAGTGTCACATTCAATGCGGCAATCGCCGCTATTATTATAAATTCGCTATGCTGGATGCAAGAGTTGAAAAAACTGCACTTATAAAATCTTTTATTTATTTACACTTTCAATCGAACACAATACAATTTTCGTTAACGCCAACTATGCACTAATGCTCACACAACAGTCTTCAAACGTCTGGCACTGTTTTTAACCAACTGATGTTTAGGTATACATGTTCTGCTTTACTCAAAATGGCACTACAATATATTTGTCTATTTTTAGTGCGTTTTGTACACTCAGGCTGTATTAAATACGAGAAAAGATATTTTGGTTTTAAAATTGAACAATAATTTCCTTAGCTGTTTTCAAAAATTTTGGTTCACAAGAAAACATTTTGATATGTATTTAACAAAAATGTATTTATTTATACCATTTCAGAAAAAAAAATAATTAGTCGCTGTATTCAAATATAAAATATGATTCGTCTTTACAATTTGCTCTATAGTGTTCTATAGTCCACATTATCCTAATTTAAATACAGAGCTTTAAGACTTCGGTAAAACCGTATGTTTATGTCTGCTGAGAATAATCAATTTTTTTTTTATTAGAGCAATAAATATTTATTTAAAAAGCCGTTAAGGCAAAAAGAGCGATGAAATGCAGCTGCATACAATAATCACATATCGATAATAGTTCGTAGATACTGTCGGCGATACATCGATGCGCATCGATAGCTGCGATTCATCCAACTTAGAACACGTATTTGTGTAGATATGTGCGTGCGCCAAAAGGGGTAATGAAAAACTAGAGTTCAAGTTATGTTGCTTCTTAGCAGCACAATTAGACCATTTGCGGCTTAACATACGTAAGTGGCTAAGCAATATTGTTAGGCTAAATACAAATTCAATGTCTACGTCTCTATTTGAAGGTTATGAGCGGGAACAGCTGCAGCAACAACACGGCAACAACGCAAGCAACAGGAGCACCGTTGCCCGGCACCTCAATAACACGACTTAAGCATAAATATAAACTAACAATTACCATTCCAACCGCACCAAAATGATGATGCAATTCGTATGCCAATTGCTTGGCCATCTCCTGATAATATGCATTGCCGCCTTTGATCTGCTGCAACAGCTTTGGCTGCGATTACACGCCCTAGCCAGCAGGTCATATGACTTCTGGCAATGTGATCAGCGAGCGTTTCTAGACAGCGCACTACGCGGGCTGGAGAAATTGCCGAAACATCTGGTGTTAGTTGTGGGCCCGGATGATTGTTATGTGGATGTGGCAATGCTTAAGCGCATTTTCAGCTACGCTCAGATTGTTGGCATACCCTATTTAAGTGTCTACGATACGCGCACCCAGGGCAATGGCTATGTGGATCTGTCGCTCTTCTGTCAACTGGATGAAAAGAGCAAAAGGTGCTACCAGTGGCCATCATCGTCACAAGCTAAGGAACAAAAAGTCATACAGAATGGCCATAAGATGAACCAAAACGGCACTAGCAATGGCTATGCCAGCAACGGTGCACATGAGAAGCAACTACAGGTAAGTTAGGGTTAAAGCAACTGATAAGGGCGTTATCAATGGTTATTTGAGCTGTTCCTCAATAAGCGTTCATTCATTTTGCTGGAAAGATAACTTCACTTGTATCTAGTATTCCCGTGAAAACGCCTAATCAGTTTTGAAAGTGTATATTTCTTATCTTTTGAATTGTTAAATTGCAGGTGTATCAAATTAGTAGAGCCGATGGCCATGCGCTAATTGCCGATGTCTGCCGTGAGCTGTACGAGAGCCGCAAAAGCGTCCAAGTGCAAGCGATGCTGGAGGAGCGCCAAAAGCTAACCAATGGCATCAATGGCATGTTGAACAAGAGGCTGGGCTACGCCGTACCGGAGCCAGAGCTGGGCATTGTGTTCTCCAGGCAGACGTGCACATACGGCCTGCTGCCGTGGCATGTGCGCTTCACCGAGTTCCATACGCATCGCAGCGGCAGTTACTTCGATGCCAAATCCTTTGCCCAAGTGCTGTACAAGTATGCGCGCTGTGAGCAACGTTGGGGGAAATAATATGTTGCTTCTTATGTTCTGAATAAGTTACTTTATGATAATATTCGATGTACAATAGATTAAGTTGATCGCCTGCAAATTGTAAACTTAAGCAAAAAGTGAAAAGACACACACACACACATCATATATACCTCTATATATATAAATATATATATATATAGATATACATGAATTTTTGTTTGCTATTGTTTGTTATTCATAAACGAAATGTATTTGCAGAGATTTACACATGAAGCATGTTAATTTGAGTTTTGCATAAATATTTTATGTATTTTAATTGTAAGTTCGATTACTTAGAGGCTAGTGTTAGGCTTTTATTGTATATATGTATATGTTGGTGCCTGGACGCATCCTGCAGCTCTACATGCTGGGCTCGGGCTGGGCGTGTCGCTTCGACAACAGATTCACATCGGTCAGATACTTATTCTTCTCGATGTTGTGCGGCCCGGCACTGTTGGGCATGCGCTCGTGTATCAATTGAAAGGAGCTGCGCAAGTCCATCAGGGAGTCGGCCAGACCCTTCTTGATGTTGGCAAACTCACTGGACATGAGGGACAGTTTGCCCAGCAGATAGTTCAGATTGTCGTCCATGTCGATCATATGCTTCTTAGTCTCCTCCACCTTGCTGCTCAGGCCCATCATTGTGCTGAACGTGCTGTTCACATAGCCATCGTGGCCGGCCTGCATCAGGCCGAGCATCTCGCGGCTTTGGCCAATTTCGGAGCTCATGATCTCGATGCGATGCCACACCTGCGACAGAGCCGTGTCCAGCAGTCCGCTGATATTACGATTGGACTCCTCCTGCGTCTCCACCAGCGTGTCGTTCAGCTCGTTGAAGCGCGCCTTCACCAGGCCCGTCAGCTCCGCCACCTGCTGCTCCAGCAGCAGACTCACCTTCTGAACAATCTGCAGCGTGCCGAACTCGACCTTGCGCTGGGTGTCCAGCACCACCTCCGAGTTGGTCATCATGATGTTGTTGAACTTACCCAGAGCATCGAAGCCATCGTTCAGCTTGCTATGGCTGGCATTGATGCCCTTGTAGAGCTGATTGAGCAGCGTCAAGTCGCCCGACAATTGCTTCAGATCACCCTGGATGTTCGCCTCCGTCTGCTGCATGTGCTCCGTGGTCTGACGCAGTGCTGCACATGGAACGGGAATAGATAGAAAAGAAGTTGATGTCTTTCCTTTCCACTCACCTGTTTGCTGACCCAGCAGCGATTCGGTCTTCAGAGCCGTCAAAGCATTGAGCGTCTCATTGTTAAGCTCTTGCATATAGGTGCGATCCTTCTCACTGAGACCCTGGGGAGCAGCTGGCGCCTGTGCTGTGGCATTGCGCAGCTCCGCCACTTGAGTGCTCAGTTGACCCAGACGTTCCAGAAGCTTCAGCTCGAGCTCATCATTCTTGGGCGGAGCCACTGTGGTGACGGCAGCCGCGGCGCTGTGCTGCTGCAGCTTGGCCTCGATCTGGCTCAGCAGCTCAGCGGACTTGGGCATGCGCTCGAAGCCCTGCTGGGTCTGTTGGGCGGCCTGTTTGCTGTTGTCCAGCAGCTGGGTCACGCTCGTCCTGAGCTGCTTAAGCTCGTCGAGCAGCTGCTTATTGATTTGCTGTTGTTCCTTCACAAATGCATCGGGCAGTGCGGAGGCGGGGGCCGGTGCTGGCGGAGCAATTGCCTTGGGTCCACCTGGCGGGTTCTTGAAGCATTCGTCGTTCTCTCGCATCCATTGGAACATGTGCTCCATGGCCCGATTGAGTTTGTCCGTTTCCGTATTATACTTCTCCTCTTGCTGCACAATAATAATAATAACTGTAATAATAACATTGACTAACGCTATCGATAATATGAATCCACTCACTGTGATCAACATGGTCTCTATCTGACTGACCCGCTCGTCCAGTCGCCCGAATATCCCGCTCATCGGCTCCAGGCTCCGCTGACCCTTCTGCAGCGCCTGCATTGCCTTCTTCAAGAGCTCACCCAGTGCACGCTCTCGATGCTCATGTCGCTCCAGTTTGTTGTCCAGCTGATTATACGAATAGATCAGGGATTTTAGGGTTCCACTTAAGTCTTCATTGCTGGAACGTCAATGGGAGAAGAAGAAGATATTGTAATAAATGTGGCAAAACACTCTTCATAATTTCTGATCTTTTTAAGCATTTAAAACTACATATTAAGTAATTTAATTTATTAAATAATAAATTATAATAACATCTAATGTAAATTATTACGCATTTAAACATCTTTTTTCAAGCTTGTGAATAGATATTGAAAAATGTAATGTCGAAATTTTAAAAATCTTTTGTAAATTTTGTGTAAAAATTAGTTTAAAATGTAAAATTGTATTTTTATATATATTTCTGGTCTTCGAAAACAAATAAATAATAATAATAAACTGATATTTTATTTTATTCAGTATGGGTTAAAAATGTTACTTCATTTAAATTTGCTTTGAAAAAAAATTTAGTTTGCTTTAAAAAAAGCGGAAAAATACTTATATGTATAATATACATATACTATTATGAATATATAATTTATATATGTACAATTTAAATATAATACTTTATATATTTTGTAAATAAATACTATGAAATTCAAGTTAAAATTTGAACCTTTTAAATTTTTTGCATTTTCTTCGTTAAGTAATTAAAATTTATTTATGAAAATATATACATAAAAATATACATATATCATTTCGTTTCATGTTTTTTTTTTTTTTTTTTTTGTGTAGATAAGTAATAAAATTATTAATTTAAAAAAGTTTCAATAATTTTTGAATATATAAAATTTATAACAATAATGTAAAAAGAATGTATAAATGTTTATCTTTGCAATCAAATTTAATAAATTCAAAGAGGAAAATCTAACTTGAAACATTGAATGAAATTTTATTTGACAATTATTTTTTGTGTTCAACATTACATTCCGAATGTAAGCTGAGAAGCAGAAAATTCTTGTGTCAATCATGAGGAAGACATGGGCCGTTTTTATGGCAGAGTCATCGACAGCTGTAAATGCTGATGGAACTGGGACGGCGACTGGGCCTGTGCCTGGGCACGTCTGCAATCGCCATAAATGACTTGTAAAGATCGAGATCAATTCTCATAAACATGCATGGCCCACCCTGCCTGCTAATAATCTACAGCTCGGCACTGT